CCCGAGACCACCTGAGAGCACCCCGAGACCACCTGAGAGCACCCAGAGACCCTCTGAGAAACCCTGAGAGCACCCTGAGACACCCCGAGACCACCCGAGACCACCCTGAGAGCACCCAGAGACCCTCTGAGAAACCCTGAGAGCACCCTGAGACACCCCGAGAGCACCCTGAGACACCCCCAGACTACCCTGAGAGCACCCAGAGACCCTCTGAGAGCACCCTGAGAGCACCCTGAGACACCCCGAGAGCACCCTGAGACACCCCCAGACTACCCTGAGAGCACCCTGAGACCCTCTGAGAAACCCTGAGAGCACCCTGAGACACCCCGAGACCACCCCGAGAACACCCTGAGACCCTCTGAGAAACCCTGAGAGCACCCTGAGACACCCCGAGACCACCCGAGAGCACCCTGAGAGCACCCTGAGAGCACCCAGAGACCCTCTGGGACCCCCCCAGACCACCCCGAGACCACCCTGAGACACCCCGAGAGCACCGGAGAGCACCCAGAGACCCTCTGGGACCCCCCCAGACCACCCCGAGACCACCCGAGAGCACCTGAGACACCCTGAGACCCTCTGGGACTCCCCGAGAGAACCCAGAGACCCTCTGGGACACCCCGAGACCACCCTGAGAGCACCCTGAGACACCCCCAGACCACCCCGAGAGCACCCTGAGAGCACCCCAAGACACCCTGAGACCCTCTGGGACCCTCCCAGACCACCCTGAGAGCACCCTAGGACACCCTGAGACACCCCCAGACCACCCTGAGAGCACCCAGAAACCCTCTGGGTCCTCCTGAGACCACCCTGAGACCATCTGGGTCCTCCTGAAATCCCTCTGAGACCACCCTGAGACACGCCGAGGCCACCCTGAGAGTACGTTGAGAGCACCCAGAGACCCTCTGGGATGCCCCAAGACCACCCTGAGACACCCCAAGAGCACCCTGAGACCCTCTGGGTCCCCCTGGGACCACCCCGGGAGCACCCTGAGACCACCCTGACACACCCCGAGACCACCCTGAGACTCTTTGGGACTCCTCAAGACCACCCTGAGACCCCCCTGAGACCCTCCTAAGATCCCCCTGGGACCCTCCTGGCACCCCCCAACCCCTGCTGGGACCCCGGTAACCCCCCGGTAACCCCCCGGTAACCCCGGTTAATCCCGGTTAACCCGTTAACCAGGTCGGTGCGCTGGCTGGATCGCTGCCTGGCCGCCCTGGTTAACCCTGGTTAACCCGGTTAATCCCGGTTAACCCGTTAACCAGGTCGGTGCGCTGGCTGGATCGCTGCCTGGCCGCCCCGTTAACCCTGGTTAACCCGGTTAACCGGTTAACCCGTTAACCAGGTCGGTGCGCTGGCTGGATCGCTGCCTGGCCGCCCCGTTAACCCTGGTTAACCCGTTAACCGGTTAACCC